CTCTGAGTCTTCCATGTCCCAAAAAATATTCAAAATAATTTTTTCAAAAATTTTTTTAAATAGATAGGGTTACTGTAGAATCCGCTTAGAACAAGTTTTATAGACTGTTTTTAATGTAGATTCGAATGAGCTATAGTATATCCAAATAAGTCATGTATTCGCGGAGAAACACCCCTCTGAGTCTTCCATGTCCCAAAAAATATTCAAAATAATTTTTTCAAAAATTTTTTTAAATAGATAGGGTTACTGTAGAATCCGCTTAGAACAAGTTTTATAGACTGTTTTTAATGTAGATTCGAATGAGCTATAGTATATCCAAATAAGTCATGTATTCGCGGAGAAACACCCCTCTGAGTCTTCCATGTCCCAAAAAATATTCAAATAATTTTTTCAAAAATTTTTTTAAATAGATAGGGTTACTGTAGAATCCGCTTAGAACAAGTTTTATAGACTGTTTTTAATGAAGATTCGAATGAGCTATAGTATATCCAAATAAGTCATGTATTCGCGGAGAAACACCCCTCTGAGTCTTCCATGTCCCAAAAAATATTCAAAATAATTTTTTCAAAAATTTTTTTAAATAGATAGGGTTACTGTAGAATCCGCTTAGAACAAGTTTTATAGACTGTTTTTAATGTAGATTCGAATGAGCTATAGTATATCCAAATAAGTCATGTATTCGCGGAGAAACACCCCTCTGAGTCTTCCATGTCCCAAAAAATATTCAAAATAATTTTTTCAAAAATTTTTTTAAATAGATAGGGTTACTGTAGAATCCGCTTAGAACAAGTTTTATAGACTGTTTTTAATGAAGATTCGAATGAGCTATAGTATATCCAAATAAGTCATGTATTCGCGGAGAAACACCCCTCTGAGTCTTCCATGTCCCAAAAAATATTCAAAATAATTTTTTCAAAAATTTTTTTAAATAGATAGAGTAACTGTAGAATCCGCTTAGAACAAGTTTTATAGACTGTTTTTAATGTAGATTCGAATGAGCTATAGTATACCAAATAAGTCATGTATTCGCGGAGAAACACCCCTCTGAGTCTTCCATGTCCCAAAAAATATTCAAAATAATTTTTTCAAAAATTTTTTTAAATAGATAGGGTAACTGTAGAATCCGCTTAGAACAAGTTTTATAGACTGTTTTTAATGTAGATTCGAATGAGCTATAGTATATCCAAATAAGTCATGTATTCGCGGAGAAACACCCCTCTGAGTCTTCCATGTCCCAAAAAATATTCAAAATAATTTTTTCAAAAATTTTTTTAAATAGATAGGGTTACTGTAGAATCCGCTTAGAACAAGTTTTATAGACTGTTTTTAATGTAGATTCGAATGAGCTATAGTATATCCAAATAAGTCATGTATTCGCGGAGAATTGCTTGCCTATACTACTTTTGGGACGCTTATACTTTGATAGGATGACTTTATGTTTATCCGCTTCTTCATTCCAACATGTGTTTATTTTTTATTTTTATATTTGTTTGTTCGAGGAGTAGCAAGCATGTGTTCAATTTATTTTTATTTTCATTTTAAGCTTATTTGTTACATTTCTTCGATTTTTCTGCCAAATTTTTTTATATTTTTTTTAATTTATTACTATTCTATTATATTTAGAATCGAGAATTATCGGTTCCATCGTTTCTCCAATTAACCGGAACCGAACCTGTTGTATCCGCCCCTGCAGAAGGAATATGAATGAATAAAAATAATCCATCATCGGGTAGCATAGTCTGTTGTGCTTTCGGTTTGGGCCTTTTCCATGATGGTTCTATTCCATCTTCTATCCAAACAATTTTTCCACAAAATGAACTCGTATATACTTATAGATCCAATAACCCGAACCGAAAATTTCTGTTAATTGAAACCGATAAACCAAACCGGTTGAAACCAGACAACCCTACTAGAGTCACTCTTGGGACGAAGGTACAACGCGCATCTTGGACAAAATATCATTTATAGGGCAAAACGCCAAACAAGAAATCTATGCTAAGTTGAGGAAAATGGCATTTCCGGGATCCATAACGGGATTTTTTTTAAATTTTTACGAGACAGAATCCCTCGGGATTAATCCAATAAATCCCATAAATCCCGATAATCCCGTTCGGAAGTCTGTCCCGTCCGCACTCTATACTTAAATTTATTCTTCTTCTCTTTATTTTCCAGATCTTAACAATCTTGAAATTTTTCCAAATCCAACTGTTTATGATTTATTTCTACTTAATATCAAATTAATTATAATGACAATGCATTGTGGAGGAACTCGTTGTGCAAAAGATTCGTGCAGGTGTACTTGTGCTTGCCAATTTGCTTGTATGGGGCCTTGTGCTAAATGCAGAAGGCATCAAATGTTAAGACAATGCTTACTTTCTAAGGTTTTCAAATTTAAATTTGGAATTCATATACTGATGAGTAGGGACTCAGAAAAATGCAAAGTTTGTAGGTTGAGTTTATATGTCACTCAAACTTCAAATTTACCTCGTCATGCCTTTCCAAGTAATAAGTAGTAATAGGAAAAACATGCAAAATTGGGACTTTGAGACCCTTTCTATTGCCCTTCTATCTTCCTGTATCCTCAGGAATTTATTTACCTTTGTATTTATTCTATCATTGTTGGAAGGGGAAACCAAAGGGAAAACTCCCCTTTTCAAGTTGCGGCACTCAAACTTCAAATTTGGCTCGTTTCGATGGTCCCTACTAATGAGTAGGGCTAGGGGAACATGAAAAATTGGAAGTTTGAGACTCATTCTGTTTCCCTTCCATCTTGTTTTATCCTATGGGATTTACTTTCTCCTCATTTATTTTTAGTGTTAGAAAGGGGAAGGGAAAGGGTCTTAGAGCACTTAGCATGTTTTTGATCCCTACTAGAGACGAGCTGGACCTGGACCAAGGACCTGAGAGAATTGGAATCGGCTTTACATAATAGATTTTATTTTAATTTAAATTGATAAAATGTTTAAGAATAAAGTTGAAGGAGATCCGTTGCCCGTTGGTGTTCTAATTTTTTGGAAGTTGGATATTCCAACTAAAAATGACAGCTAATGTTTAGCTTTTGCTCTCAAAAAATTACTAAAAAGTTTTAACTACATAGAAAAATTATTCTCTCATTTTAAGGGTGCCAATATTTGTGGTCAATGTTGTGGTCATTCAATTTGCGAGTCTGGCTGGAGTGGCACAAAAAGCAGACGAAATGTAACAACTTCTAGAACAACCTCATATTATTAAAAAAATTTAATTATTTTACAAATTTGAAATGTTGTGTATATTACACTGAAAATAAAATGTTTATTTAATTATTGGGAACGAGACGAGGTCATAAATTTAGTCTATGGCTATAAGCTAACAAAAAATTGGTACAAAAACCTGTATCTAATTTACAGTGTTGCCCAAAACGGCGCGCGGCCATAAAGGCTCAAAGCCATAATTTGATGAAAAATGTCTGGCCCTTATAAATTTTGGTACCAAACTCTTTAGCTCGGAGAGAGGAATCGTTTGATACTAAATTAGTTAAGATTAGGAAATTTAGAGCAAGTTATGACTTTGCGTCATCACGGCCGCGCGCCGTTTTGGGCGTGTTTTTCTAATTAAGACCCACACTTAATAGCTTTGAAAAATTTGAACAATATTGAATTACTAATTTAAAAATATTGAATTACTAGACGAATTATTGCAACTGAAACTTTAGCCATCAAGTATTTCTTCTTTCTTTTCAATTTTTTGGATGTCAAATATATACTTTGACAATCATTATTATAGTCCGGATTTTACTAGTGATTTGATAGTAAATAGACCATAATTTATTTCAATATTTCACTAATTTTTGGCATTTTTTGTCTATATTTTGCCAATTTATTTCAATATTTTATGGCCATATTTTACAATTTTATTTCAATAAAAATCTGGGTACTTTATGGATATATCACCCCCCCCCCCCTATTTTGAGTCTCAGTTTTCCTTAATATGTAATAATAGTCAAACTTCCTTCCACAATTTCACTCCATTCCCTTGTGGCTAAAATAAATGATTGAAAAATAATCTTTTATTTACTAATGCTCCATTTAAATATGCCACAGGGAAAAGGATAGAAATTATAGAAGGAAGAAAGGCTGACCATTATTACATATTAAGGAAAACTCTGAGACTCAGAATAAGGGGGGTGGGGTGATATATCTAGAGTCCGGCAAAATCGCATTCCCGGGATCCCGGAACGGGATTTTTTTTCAAAATTTTGTACGGGACGGGATCCCGCGGGATTAATCCCGTAAATCCCGGTAATCCCGTTTTCCGCGAAAAACCCGGGATTCCGGGACGGGATCCCGTAAAATCCCGTACGGGGTCCCGTCCCGTGCCGGTCTCTAGATATATCCATAAAGTACTGAAATTTGGACTCTAATCATTATATTTACTAAAGCAGACTTAGGCTAGAGCTATTTCTTTAACTAATTCGTTGCGTTTCGCATTTTTGAGTTAATTAGGATTGCTTAAGATTCACTTAAAAAATGATAAACACTCCATTTAAAAAATCGTTTTATTAAAATTAACAACCAAACAATAATCATTATGATTTGAATATTTAACTTAACAATTATTCAATTATTCTCTTAAAAATATTCATGCACTTCCATCTCCCATTAATATGTTCTATAAATTAAAAAAATTAAGTTCTCAATCCAATCTTACCGAAAGGGGTCTTAATCCGGTCCTACCTTATTAGGAGGGTAACAGAAAATCGAGAGGATAATAAGCTAAAAATGTGATCTGAATTTTGCGTTTTCCGTTGTTTCTGTTCTAACCTATATCTTCGATTAACTTAAACTATTTACAGTTTTACATTTTCCAGCATAAAGAAATTTGTCTGACTAGAAAATTAGCTTAGTCCAAAAATCATTTATAATCGAGAAATAAATTAAAACAAGTTTCCTTCTTCTGTTTGTTGAATTTTTTGGAGGTCAAATATACAATTTGACTATTATTATAGTAAAGCATTAATCGATGCCACTGTAGCTCAGTGGTAGAGCTCCTATGTAGGAGTGGTGAGAAAGTGCTAACGACTACTACAAGCACTTTTTACGATGAGGTCGCAGGTTCAAATTGTGCCCGGTGGCTAGACTTTTGCTAAACTCTTTTTTTTAAATTCGGAGTATCCGAGGTAATAGAGATTAATAACAGGTAGTGAATAACCCTATTATTGTAAACTCAATTCCAATCTATCCCAAATATTTTAAAAATTACCATATTCATTTCAAATTCCCATTTGCTAATGACGCCATCATGATCAATGTCCATCTATAAAATTTGAAAAATAATGAAAATTTTTTTTCGTTCTGTTTTCAAATTTAGGCTACTTTATCATAAGAAAAAATAACCATAAATATCGAAAAATAGCCTAAGCATTGCTTGGCTTACAAAAATACTATGCGAACCTTGGATTTATATGCTACTATCTATCACATTTAAATAATGTGCACATAAACATTTATTTATGAAAAAATATATATTTTTTGGATTTCTGAAATTTCTAACAACGAGAAGGACAAAACACGGCCTAAAAATGGAATTACTAGAGACGTGCGAGACCGAAAATTTTCCAGGACTCAAGACCAAAAATTAACAATAATCAAGACAATTTTTTGGTTCAATGGGCAAGAACAAGGCTTCACCACAAGACCGAGAAAAACCCAAGAAAATTCTTGGAATCAAGACCAAGAGTCTCGCACGTCTCTAGGGATTTGTCAATTTCCTGGTATTAAAAACTCCATTAATTACTTCGGTGGAACTTGCCTGAACGACGCAAACAATCTAAGTATTTTCTCGATTAATTCCCCTCCCTTCGAATAATTCCCCTCCCTAGATTAATTCCCCATGCCAAGGAAGGGTTGAAAAAATAATTCCCCAGGGGAATTAATCGAGAAAATACGGTAGTTTTTGGTATACAGCCCCTCTCTAGCTTTCACTCTAATTTTATCAAATCTCCAACCCACCCATTCTTTAATATATTGCAAGGAATATCCCCTCAACTCCGCATCGTCAACCTTTCCATTTCCATCAATATCCAGTTTTTTTAATTTTCCTTCAGTAAAGAAAGAGCGATATTTATTGATAGCCTCTTCGCTGTTCTCGACGACCCAAACAGCCTTCCAAAATTTTGGTCCGTTTACAAATCGTTTTAGTTCTTCCATGTCAATTTTGCCGTCATTGTTTTCATCTGCTGCCTAAATTTATTTTTTTATTAGTGAAAATGCTACTTTAGTGCGCGAGCTTTGAAATGCCGACCTACCCACTAAGTATCAGCACAAAAATAGTTATTCCAGAGAATTTTGCGATATTTTTCGAATAAATCCAAAAATTCACTTCGACGCCCACAATTCCCCGCGCCTAAAAAATTGGAGCCCAATCTTCCGTTTTTTTCACTTAGGGCCCAAATTTCCGCTGGAGCCCAATTTTCCGAAAAGTTGGAGCCCAATTTTCCAGAGCCCAATTTTCCGGACACCAAGCTGAACTGGGCTATATATTTCTCCTATAGCTAATGAAAATGGCGGCTGGGAGCGAAACAGCATCGTCAATTGTCTCGGCATGCATATTCTTAATCATTCAATTCGTTCCGAAACAACGGACACAACAGAATTAATTTAGGAAAACGCTTAATATACAATTATTATTTATTTAAAATTAAATATTCGAGAATATTTCTTTTCATAATTTTTTGGCGGAGCATTGTTTTATTTTTGTAAGTCAATTTTCATTGACTATTTTTTTCGTGCGAGCCAGTTCAACGCGATATTTATACTAATTAACCCACCGTAAACAAGTTGGCCTTTTTCTTTGCTCCATTGTTGTTACTGCTGTTTTCTTCAACTTTAAATTTTAGTTTATCCTGAATTTTATTAAATAGCACATTGATAACCTTTAGATTCCTTTGAATTTACAAGAATAATAAGAACAAAAAGAAGGATTAAATTTATTATTATTGGTGTTGCTTCCATTAAAAATGTGAGGCTTTGCTGTTGTTTTGTTATATGTATATTTTAAAATTAGTTCTGAAATTTTAGAATTTATTTTGAAATTTATTAGGAACTTTTTAAAGGGATCAAAAAACTAAAACAATATTAAAAACGAAAAAAAAATTAGACAAGTGAGATAATTAGACTAATACTTGTCTCTTGGGCATAGGGAAATTACTTTCAAGTCCCTAATCTTCAATCAACAAAAAACTTTTGCCTGAGCATTGCTCGGCATCCAAAAAATAATGACCGTCACAATCGGCTACCGACAAACAAGCCAATAATAGCAGAATTTCTTATATATTATAATTTTAATTATTGTATACCTTTGAAACATTACAAAGATCTAGGAGATCTAGGACGCATAAAATTTGCACGGCGCATGTCATAAAGTAGAGCACGTATTTTCTGAGTGTAGTAATCGAACCTCCTAGCAATAACTGTCAAGGTATTGATGGCATAGTCGTATACACGACTATGCCTTCAATTATGAAGCTCAAAAATGATGTTTTTACGTTAGCCCAGTCATGTATGACAGGGATCTTAATGCACATTTTAACCCTCGTGCATGTTTGCATTCAGTGCATATTTTGTATCACCCTACTTATTAATAGTAGTCTAAGCGATGCTTGACTTACAAAAATAATGTACAGACAAGGAACTCCATCAAGGTTAATTACACTGTTAAATGCTTTACTTTAGAAACATAAAAATTAAAAACATTATATTGTTAATTTTCTTTAACAAAAAAAAATCCCCAAATTAGAGAAACTAAAACACTAAAACTCTTTAAAAAATAAACTTTATAAAATGATCTCTCCAAACCAAGGCCATCACTCAATAATCATTTTTAATTTAAAAGACCTAAAATTATAATTCTCCTTGATTTAAAAAGGAACAATTTATCAATTAACGATTAACAAAAAAATTAAATAATCAATTAGGATGTTGGTGAATTTTGAAGAAAATTGATCAAATTAATTGACCATTTTATAAGTTGTTGTAATATAACGTTGGGGAAAATTGTAAAATATATAATTTTTTATATAATTTACTAAATAATATATGCATTTTTACGCAATTTGTTTTTTCGACGTAGAAAGATTTTTTATTTTTGTAAGCCAGCTATGCCTTGGCTAATAATTCACTTCAGGAATGAGTTGTGCTTAGATTTGAATGATTATAGTGCTTATATTTGAAAAATTAAAGCTAGATATGCCTAAGGTGAATTTGAAAAGATTAATGAGTATAACGAGAGACTTTGACGATGAGTATAACGATTAACAAAAAATTAAATAAGCAATTATGATGTTGGTGACTTTGAAGATAATTGATCAAATTAATTAAACATTTTTATGTTGATGTAATTATAAATTGCGGTAAATTGTAAAATATACAATTTTTTATTTAATGGATAACTTATTCAATTAAAATTTTATTAGATATGTATTCTTTGTAAAAGTTTTCATGGTTTATTTTTGTAAGCCAATAATGCTTTGGCTAGTAATAATGGGTTGTTAGATAAATAATGAGCCCTTTGCGCATAAATAAAACAATCTACTATAATTAATGAAATGAAATCGAGAAACAATATAATGCTCATTATTATCTAGCACTTCTCGACACTTGCTGGGCAGTTTTAGAATTTCCATTTGATTAAATTTAGTGACACTTTTGGTATCAAGAAAGTTGGCAACCCAATTTGAGAGTATCAGGAATGGACGTGCTTGAAAAGTAAAGTCGGTCTGTTTTCTGTTCGGTTCAATAAGGTGAAGTTGGTGGGATTAAGGATATATTGAGGGACCTTAAGACTCTACCCACCAAGCCATGCCGGTGTGCTTATTGTTGGGGCATATATTAATGAACGATCAAATGGGAACTAATTTGGAACTGGAACTAATGCGAAAGAACAACAGTTAAATAAAGCAAAGTCGTTTCATTGTGCTTGTTGAATTTGGGTTTTGAATTTCTAGACTACAAAAACCGAATTTCTGCCTGAGCTTTGCTCGGCATCCAAAAAATAACACATCAAGCCCTCAAACTTGGCTTCTAAAAATAGCCGAAATTTTTAAAAATTATAACTTTAATTATTTAATACCTTTTAAACAATACTCCGCTTTAATTTTGCTGGTATGGGTTCAGTTTACTTGATCATAATTGACCCTCTCAACTTTTCCAAACGCTTCGCACATTCGGATTCCAAACTAAAAATACTCTTTTCCGAAACCATAGTGTTTTTCCCAAACCCGGTCTGGAATAAAACATCGAAAGGGCATCACTTTTTGGCCAGAAAAAGAATCGGTCGGTCCGGTCCGATGAAAATGAAGCCCGAAAGATGACTTGAACGTCGACCCAACAACGAAATTTTTTAAAAATTATAAATAAAACAATTTACTATAACTACTTAATGAAATGAGACAACAGAGACTTTTTGACACAACAGAGACGTCTTGCAATGGTCGAGACTGGCCTCGCTACAAATCTAGCATTGTTTTAGCAATGCTTCCAAAAAATATCATCAGGTCACAGCGTCACTTTTAACAACATGAAATAATATTTCTTAATTTATAAATTATTAAATGTATTAATATATATTTTTCTTTCTTAAAAACAAAATATTTACTTATTCCCTTTTTCTTTAAGACGTCCTTAATCTACCGAAGGTTCATTCTTCTCTGATCTACATGTCTCTGTTATGTAGCCCAAGTCTTCTTTTTTGAATCCAACGTCAACTGAAACTACGCCTAGTATATTTGGGCATACCAGAGTTTCTAGCATTGTTTGAACAACGCTTCCAAAAAATATCTGCTCGTTCACACATAAAGCAAGTCAAAAATCTGAACTAATTTTTTAACTTTATAAATTATTAAATGTATTAATATATATTTTTCTTTCTTAACTCAAACTACGCTTATATCAGTACTTTGGAATATCTTGAAAGGTTTCAGACACACCAGACAGATCGTGCAATGGATAAGTCTAACCTTGCTACAAATCTGGCATTGTTCTAACAACGCTTCCAAAAAATATCAGCTTATTGTGATAATCCACAAAATTAAAAAATATTTTATAAATTTATAAATTATTAAATGTATTAATATATATTTTTCTTTCTTAAAACAAAACATTTCACCTTTACCTTACCATTATTTTGACTTTATTTTATTAACTCAACGGCAACCAGGCAACAACAATAATTTTACCCATAATTATTTTTTTAATAATTTTATTATCCCATTAATTTTCTTTTTTCTTAGAATGCCCTTATTTTATAGGGGTAAAGCTACAATTTTTTTATTAAAAATGAGACAACAAAGTTTTCATAATTTTTGAGCAAATACATTTTTGAGTGTCACGCATATTTTAAATGTTTCTTAATTAATTTTTTATTAATTTATGTTTCTAAGATTTTTTAAAATTTTGTCACTAAAAGATATATAACAAGGATCGGATTCGTACTTTATTGAAAGTACAGTACTTATAAATCGACCTCCGTACTTACGAAATTGAATTTGTACTTTATTTGAAAGTACAGTACTTTAAAATCAACATTTTAGAAAAAATGGAAGAAATCTGGCTTAAGGACCTCCAAAATTCTCAAAATTTTCGTCTGCGGCGCAAAAGAAGAATCATTTAGGAGAGAAATATAGAAGATTTGAGCACGAATAAATATTTTCTAATTTAATTTAGAGTGTACTTTATATTTGGAAATTTTGTCCATATGTACTTTTAAATCGAGATTTTTATACTTTTGATTGGCATTTTGTCGATCCGAGCCCTGGTATATAGCAAGGGTGAGGCGAAATTGACTTTAAAAATCGAAAAATGAAAGGTTAAAACCAAAAAAGGCCAAACTCGGTAAAAAAGCAAAAAGACGAAACTGGCACATCCTTAAAGTCTGGAATACTTTTATAATTCGAGTTTCCACTCGATAGAATGAGACGAAAGACGAAACTGGCACCCTCTCATATAATAATTAGTCTGAGCATTGCTAGACTTACAAAAATATAAGTTGGACGCACGACGAATAATCATATTAAATTTTCTTAAAATAATAATGCTTATATAAATCTAACAAATATAAATTTTATATTTTCAAGGCATTTAGAAATTTTTTGCATGATTGACAAATATACAATTAGAAAGTATGGTTGTTCCCCGTCCCCGAAAGTCGTGGAATTTGAGAGATTTTTTGAAAATTCCCA